AAGCAAGAAATCTGTACGGAAAATAATCATGTTTATTCAGGTTGCGATGGCTGTATTTGCTTGTTCAGTGTGCATGGTGTCTGTGTGTGGATTGGAATGAATCTCGATAACCACACCAAACCAGAGCACACACAGACGATCTGACGTCAGCTGAATGGGGAAACAAACACAAAAAGGCATCTGGAGCAGAGCGGAGAGTTTTTACATACATTCACCTCAAGTTTTGGAACTTTGTATAAAAACAGACTTTTGTTATCAGAAGAGAAAGCTTGTATTTGATGTGTGTTTCAAATTGTAATTTGAGTTGAAAACCTGAAAAAAAAAAGTTGAAATATTGCAAAATAATGCTTGACTGTGGCAGAAAAATGGTTGTGAAAGTGCAAAGGAAGTTGTTTGTTTTACCAACTCAATCTGATCTCACAGTTCTCTTCTGCAGTGGTTTTAAAGGCACCTGACTGTAAAATTAGCACCAGCTGTTCATCCCAAAGCGGTCAGCTCCTCTGATATCTGCAGAAAATGAATGTGAAGTCCTTTTATCATTCAGCAATTTACTGGTGAAATTTCTTTCAAATTTGCGTGAAGAAACGCATGGAAACTTGTTGCAGACGTTCTGTACGAAGCAGTTGACAACAAACTGAAGCAAATGGGAAAAAGATGGAGGCTATATGTGAAAGCGGGCCAGGCCGGACGTCCCCTCTTGTCCTTGAAATTAATTCCCCGTCGTAATTATAATTACACATCTACACATTGTGTGAAGCGGGGACAACAGTGATTGCATTCATAACCCTTAGTTTGGCAACGTGGCTGGTGGAGGGCAGTTTCTCGGAACCTCCATCTAAAATCCCTGCATGACCCAGAGATAATTGGAAGTCAGCGCCACGGATGTTTGAAGATAAAGGCAAAACTTCAAAGTTTATCTTGCCACCAGAAAACAAAAAGCAACAACAGACATTAAAGCGAAGCCTCTCCCAAAGTACGCCAAAGCTCCCCCAAACCCTAGGAATCGGGGCAAGTAATCATCGTCTTGCGGTTGTTCATACAGGAGGGCTGTCTTTGAGAGAAGATCTGCAGGGAAGCTGACAAAATCCTGATAGAAATAAGCGAGAAACCCGGTTATTGTTGAAGCACCAAATGGGATTTTCTGATGGGAGTTGGACAGAAACATGGAGGCAGCAGATGAGAATGACAAAGATAATAACTGGTTTGACAATAGAGTTGCGTCTGTAGTCGGTGCGTCATTCCTTTGCTCAAGCTGAGGATAATACAAGCCTTCTGTCTCAAGGAATTCATGATTCCATAATAATAAATGTCTTTCTTCTAGAGGCTGGTTGACAGTATGTGTCATGTATTGCTAACTTTAGGCCGCAAAATCAATTAACTGACCCCACTGCTTCGTCCCAGTAAAAACAAAACCTAGTTGTGTTTGTTTTTGGTTTCTGCTATCATAGAGTTGTGACAGATGCAGGAAACATGAGGCACATTTTTATGGCTCCATTTGTTTCAGCTGACACACTGACCAACTCCCTGGGAAATTCAATTATCTGCTAGTTTAACTGGGTTCAGCTGGGAACAACTGTGACATGTTTGCTCTGTTTCCAACCCTGCTGGCTGCAATTATCCACACATCAAGCAGCCCGCAATCGTATGCATCAGACTTCTCAACGTGAGGCTTTAACTGAAAGACAACAGCAAACAAAATCCAATCGTTCTCCTTCTTGTGACACTAAAATAGAAGCTATTCAGATTTCATATGATTGAGCGTGATTTGTTTGGATGCATAGATCAGTGACGTGTCACACACATACATCGTGTACATTGTGTTCAGTCACACGGCAGAAGAGTGACATGAAGTAAGGCGAAGTAACTCCAACACATCATACTACAGCATTTTTTGGGTTTTTTTTTTGCAGCTTGGCACAGAAAGAAAACTCACATGGTTCTCATTTTCCGTGACTAATCTACAAGAGAAGTCTGTCTGATTTTTTTTTTTTTAAACAACCTCATTACCAAGACTTGAAGTTTGTGGACACTGTGGCTCCACAAGAGGTGGACACTGAAAACGAAGGTTATAATGATGTGAAGCTGCATGGAAATATTTCAGGCACAAAAAAGGAGGATGTTGGTAATATTGATGCCACGACTTGAGGCAAAGCTGATGACTTAGAGTTTTGCTGGAACTGTTGGAATCAAGGACAGTCTTGATCGTGCTTCACTGTTATTTACCTTTTTACTGTGGAGTTCTCCAAATAACCCAACAATGAGCATTTTTTCTGTTTAAACAGCCTGAATGACTCAAGACACCTGTGATACTGAATGAAGACAACAGCTTGCCTGAAATATTTCAACGCATCAAGATCATTTCAGAGAATCTTTGTGGCAAAAGAATGAATCCTTCTATAGCTTCTTTGTTGGCGAACCGACGGCGTGCAGGTGTGCATGACTAATAAATGAAACACCTTTCAGGAAGAATGGAGCGTTGCTTCAGAGAGGTGTAAGGACACCAACACTTCTGTATCCGTCACGCATTAGGGAGGCATCTGAACACCACAAATTTATCTTAGAACACAACAACAACAACAACAAGCCCGAACACGCGGTTTACATCAAACTGAACCACCTTCAGCCACATGATCAAAAACAACAATGGCTCACACAGAGTCCTGATCTCAACATTCAAGTTGGCAAGAGGAGACGAACACAGTGAGACGGAGGAAGTCCACAGAAGATCTGTATTTGATTTATAGCAACAGAACCCAACAATTTCACAACTGCTGTAATTTAAATATTACCAAATTCGGTGCACAAAAGTTGAAATGAAATAGCAATAACAGTTGTAACCGTGACAGAAAATCAGCCTAAAAACATGAAGGATGTAGCAGTGGCTAAGTTGTTCTCTAAATCGACATGCTGTTGATTATTCTCGGGCCCTGTGGAAGGCTGTGTGTTGAAGGGGGATTTTTTTTTCCTAATAAGCTCGTTCAGTTGAGCCTCTGCTGGGAAGCTTCACAAAGCTGCAGCTCGTCCACATGCAGGCAGACCGGTGGTCAAGAGAGGCCGAGAGGAAATGGTTCAGCTGCCCTGCAAAGTATAATGAATTAAACTGTCTTATCTGAGAGATTGTTCACACACAGTCTCACCTCCTCCTTTCCTTTGAGTCTGAAAGTTTTTCCTCAAAAGTCTATCAAGTCAATGAATATGAGATTTTAATCACAGTCTCTTCCTTTCTTGTCAATCTACAAGTTAGTTTTCTCTATAATCTAACTACGACTTTGTGAACAGTCAAAATAAAAGTATCCAGACAGTCTGTGTGTCTGATGTGATGAAGGAGACACAGTGAACTCTAACATTATGATCGATGCAGTTTCCACGTCAGGGATGATTAAAAATGATAAGTAATTAATCAAGTTACTGCTGTTGTGCCGCCTGCATTAATGTGCACAACTTTCTCACTTTGTTCAGAGTGTTGCGTAGAGCCACGTTGTTAAGATTCTGTCAAACGTGAATCCTTTTCTGTTAATCTGACGTCATCGGAGCATGTGGGTGTCGTGTCTGAATGAGCACCCAGGTCAGCCTGGGACAGCGATCCGTCAGAAGGACACCCACAGGCAGCGCTACTCTGATTTGTGTGAAGTGGTTTAAGGCATTTTGCTGATGTTTTGCAGATTTTCCGTGTTTCGTGAAATCACAGATAACATCTGGGGAAATCACTGACAAAAATATTAATTTTATGTGTTAGCCGTAAAACAACAACAACAATAACAACAACAACAACAACACCAAAAGGGCTAAAACTGTCAATAATGTTCACATAAAAATCTGCATGTTTTGCAAATAATAGTACAATGTTTTACATTTCACCAACATTAGTTTTTGAATTTTTTTTTACTTTTTTTAAATCAGTAAAAAGAACATTATTTTACTTTTTTTTTAATCATTATTTAAAAGAGAAATGATATATTAAAGATAAAAAAACCAGTTAAATACAACAACAACAACAACAACAATAATATTGGTAATAATAATAATAAGTTTAGAACTTTTACCTGTTCTGTTAAATTACAGATAACGTTTAGTAAAATCACTGACAAAAAATGCATCAGTTTACATGTTGACTGTAAAAAAAAAATTTTTTTTAAATTAAATATTTGGCAGCAAAGATATTTCAAAATAAGTTAAACACTAACAATCAAAAATCTGTGGAGGAAAAAAAAACAACCTCTGGAATATAATTATAAATGTGTGACTAAAAAATGTGACATTGCTTTTCTGTACTCGATTGAAAAAAAAAAAATAAAAATAAAAATAAATATGCAAATCTGGAAGCAAGACTAGATTCATATTTTTTTTGTTCAATGAACTACAAACATGCAAAAATAATCATGTTTTTTTAAAGGTAAATACAGTAAAAAAGAAAAAAAAGCAGCGTAATAATACTGTCCAATGTTACAAATTGTCATTTATTAAAATATACCTGGTGTAGATGTTATTTATGGTTTTGGCCAGTTTTTCTTTTTGGTTTTTTACAGTTCTTGTGTAAATTAATGCTGTTTTATGTTTACTCATTAATATCTGTAATTTACCAAAGCAGCATGCATATAGAGTTTTTTTTTTCCAGTTTGTGTTTGACTTATTTTAAAAATATCTTTGCTGCCATTTTTTACATTTTTTTTTATTTTTTACAGTGTATGTCTGAAGCTCCAATGCCGTCACATGAACAGATCGATGAGGCAGCAACGTTACATCCCATCCCTAGAAAAAAAAAAAAAAAAGAAGCGCTTTAACAGAAGCCGGTGGAGCCTCGTGGAGCTCAGATCTTCTCCAGCGCTCAGACGGAACGAAGCTCCGGAGAACCCAAAGGACTCAGCTCCCCCCCCTACTGAACCAACACCGAGTTAAAGTCGGGCTCTCAGACCGGGGGAGGTTTAACCGTGAAGGTCCTGCCCAGGAGGCGGGTTGAGCAGCGGACCGAGCAGCTGCGGAGCTCACAGCGGATCTGCGCCTCGGAGGACAACTTGATCCGGAGTCTCTCTTGTTTGCTGAGATATCAGTGTGGATCTGCGAGTCGGTGGGAATTAAACGGGATGACAGATGACCGATGAGCAAAAAGTGAGTCACCTTCACTTTTGGAGTGTTTTTCTCCACTTTGCGCCAACATGTAATCACCTCATGTTACAGGCGTTTGAGCCAAATTGTTGTTGTTGTTGTTGTTTTTCCTCCTTGTTGCTTTCATGACAGGAAACATTCAATTACAGGATAAAGTGGTGACATCAAGTCCTGCTGCTAATAAAATAACCAGGCAGTCACATAAACAGGGATGACATCTGCATGATTTCAACATTGTTTTAAATCATTTGCTCTTTTTTTTTTTAACATCCCTCAGTTAAAGTTTATTGTTTATGGTCAGCTCCTTTATCAAACGTCTTACAAGCAGAAGGCGATTTTCTCATTTTGCAGTCTGTGAAGAGCAGAGGATGGCAGTAGCACAGCAGATAGAGGAGCTTCATGTGTCCTGCGACTGTGTTTAACAGCTGCCTTTATGTGACTCTTATGAAATCAGGAGAGGAAGGTCTGAGAAAGCTCTGCAGGATCTCCAGAAAAGTCAGATTTAATCGCATCTTTCTCAGATCTTTAAAGCTGCAAAAACAAGCCTGTGATAGTTGAATCTGCGGGCTGAGCTTTGAGACACGTGTGATTAAATATCCTTTTGTACTGATCACCTTCAAAGTGTCGGTGGTGGAAGGATGCCACATGAAGACACAGTGAAGGTTAACGTGCTTATCAATATCAAATCTTTACGGTCACAGCTTATAAACAAGGAAATTGAAAGTGCAGTCGTCATCTGTGCAAAAGAGCTGTAAAATAATAACCAGCATTCACACTGAGTTTGCACCGTTCCCCTTTAAACTGCACCAAAAACAACACGTATTGCACATTTTTGCATGACATGACCTCCTGAAAACCTTAAATCTCTAATCTTGTGCGCAAGGAAAAGAATATCTACAAGAAAATACTCAAAACAAGAGACTTTGCATTAAAAATCTGATATATTTCGATGCAGATCGTAGATGTCTTGCATGAGAAATTCAACTCCAGCTGTCGCTTTCATGCATTTGAATGGAAAACAATGTGCAATCGCAGCCGTTGAAATGCATCAGACTGGAAGCATCAAGTAGCACAAAACAGAAATTCTCACGTAAAGTGCATTTTTTCCTCAAGTACGTTTTTCCTCAAGTCCAGCACTTGTGTAAACATTGTGAGTCCCTCCCGTGGGGCTGTGGGGTGACTCCATCCTGACCTGTCCCCCCTCCTCTTTACTTCCCTCCCTATAGGACTGTCCAAATCAGACCTATATCATGTCTTATTTAAAAATCTCACAGGTCAGATTGGTTGAATTTTGCATCGGGAGACCTCGAGACGAGGTGAACGCTTGTTGGTCAGATCAGTGTTTGAGTTCCAGGCTGCAGGGTGTCTGTGTTAGTTGGAGGGAAAAGTGTTTTTTTTTTTTCATCAGTCTCGCCTCTTTCTTCCCTTTTGTGAGTTTACTTTTTTTTCCCACAGAGTTGCTTCGAGTCAAACATCAGCTAGAATCATAGAAAACATCAGGAGGGTTCGAAGCGTCAAAGATGACAAATCCTAGCAGGGGCATGAAAGCAACCTTTGTAGCTCTTATTTGAACAGATGCAAAAACTGCACTTTAATCCTGCAATGGAATGACTAAAAAAAAAAAAAAAGCACATGAATGACCTCCGGCCAGATAGCAGCCTTCATCTCTCTCCCTTCATAATCCACCTGATGATTATTGGATACAGTCGCCACAAAGACAGTCGAGGTTGTAACGCCGTCCTTCTCATTGCTCAAAAATGACCTGATGATGATGGTAAAATGACTGTAATGTATCTGATACAGCTTAAATTAGTGGCAAACTCTGGTCAATTATGCTTTCTGTTTCTTTTTTTTTACCTCATCTAAATAGTCTGATTCCTGATTGGCTAAAATATGGCTTAAATATCCATCACTCCTGCTCTCTGCTGAGTCTTTAGTTTGCTGCATTAATTTATGCTGGAAACGTCTTTATTCATGTAAAGGGAAGCACAAGATGCAGGCCTGAGGGTACAAATCATCATATAATAGACTATAGATGGATTTAATCATGTTTTCCACAATAGATTTAGTGGCTGTATGAACTCATAATTCATATGTTTGTCGTGATAAAATAAGAGCTCCTGTGTGTGTTCTGCTTTCTGTTGTGTTTCTGTCGGAGGGGAGCTTATGCCTGTGATCAGGGATCTGTTTTTTAAAGCTCTAATCCCAGTAATTTATTATGTTTATGTCATTTTTGCGTTGAATTTAAGGGATAAAGTTAGATAGATCACAGTCTGCTCAAATCTGCGATGCATGTTAGATTACAGTGTTTGAATACTTAGTTTTTTTTAGATAACTGCTGGTTAATGCTGCCTGTACATTATATTTCCCAGACTTGTCTGCAGCAATCTTTTGATGGGTGTCAAAGTCTATATGAATGCAGGACATGAGGAGCGTTTTATTGTGACTAGAAAGCCTGTGTTCATCTGTCAGTGGTTTTAATGTTGTGGCTGATCAGTGTGAGTTTAAAAATAAATCAAAAAGAAGGCTCAGTAACCTCTTTAATCAGCTGCAGTTTTTAGCAGATGTTACTTAAATATGAGGAAACAGCTCCTTTGTTGGGGACTATTTTCTCATGCGTTAGTTTTTTTTGATAGTTTTTGGAAAACAGTGGAAATTCTGTGGCACAAATGACGGAGGATGTTGTGTCAGTTAATGGTTGGTTTTGGAAATTTCACGCCATTTATTGAAGCCGGATTTCTTCTTTTCTTGGAGCATGAAATGTTGTCTGATAACGCCGAGACGGAGTGAGAGGTGTGACGCCGTTCAGGAGATAAATGTGACATGTTTGAGGAGAAATCTGTCGATCTGTGGTGGACTTTCTCTTCACAAGATCAGTTCTCTTTTTTAAAAAAAAAATCATCTGGTTATGTTGCTACCAAATGAGCCCTCTGGTCTTTTTTTCATCGTCACATCTTGTCACTGGTTTTTTAGTCACTCTGTGTTTGAGGTATTTGTCGATACTTCAGCAGCGGTGTTTACAGTCAGACCTCACTGGGCTCTGGGGAAATCTTAGTTTCTCTTTCGTGATGATCAGTCTGTTGTTTTGTTCCCATCAGCGGCTCTGACCACAAACCTCCCAGACATCCTCAACATTTTAAATATACAGCGCGTATACGTACTCTTTGATGGAGACAGCGTTGCGTATTCTAGGTCACATCTGTGCAGCACCGGCCAGAGAAATGGTTCTCCCTCAGATGTTGGATGGAGGCAGTGCTGTGGGTGTGCAGTTTCTCTTCTCCGAGCTGTTAGATGTTGCCCCCCGAGCCGAGTTCAAGCCCTCATTTCCAACCAGAGCGTGTCTCGCTTTGCAGTGGAACGTCATCGACAGGTCGGCCTAAACGCACTAATTGAACCTCCAATGGAAGAAGCTCCTCTCAGAGGTTTTGCACCCACTGAGCCAGAAACAACATCTGGGTTTTTATTCTTTTGACTGTGCCCACGCCTCGTTCTCAGTCTTGTCACCTTTTTTTTCATTGAAGAAATTTAGATTTATCTCAACACAACATCAGTTTTTTCTGAAGAAGTCCCTTCAAGTGTTTTTCATGATTTGTGTAAAGTGTAAAAACAAATCCTGTATGAAAAAAAAAGAATAAAAAATGACAAAAAAAAATCAGCAGAAAAAAATCTGGCCGCAAGGGTGCAACAAAAATACACAAAAAATTAACAACAATGGAGTATTATGCTGTTAAGAAAGTTTAAAAGCAATACTAGTAAATGTTTGTAAAAATTTTAAAATTTAAATTCAGATTTAAATACAGTAAACAGTGAACTTAATGGTTAAATTGTAGAAACATAAATTACCATTTAAGAAAAAATGCACAGATTTTTGATGTGAACACCTTTTTTTTTTTTTACAGTCAACACATGAATTAATACTTTTTTCCTGTGATTTTACTCTTTGTTTCTGTATTTTAACAACATGGGGAAAATCATTATTATTATTTTTTAAAAATCATTTTAATCCTTAGTCCTCATCATTTTGCTTTCAAGAGAGATATTCGGAGATCAAAATTGATGTCCCCATTCCAGCACAGCGAACGAATAGTCGGCTGTTCGGGTCCAGCCCTAGATATGTGTTCTTTTTTTTTGCACTAATTGATAAGTTATCCACAGTCAATAAACCACAAATACGTTGCCAGTGTAGATTCCTGGTCAGCAGACAACTAGAGTTCTTTTCGGCCTTTAAAGAAACACAAAAAAGTCCAGTTGTTTGCTACCAAAGCACTTGATCACATGCACTGTTGACCTTCTCACCTAGAAAACATCTCATCAGCCTGTGACGTTGGTTTCAGATGCAAATCACTGATTTTTATTTAGTGTGACATTGTTTATTGAGATTGGCAGAAGACATGTGTTCACGTTGTTATCTACAGGATGCAAACTAGGGGAGGAGGATATCAGCTGTAGAAAGTCTTTAAATGAAATACTGGCTTCAGTCCAGACTTCTAACCTCTGCTGGAGGTGATGGAGGATTTAAAGGCGTGACTTGGAGGCAGACATCACGATTTCCGTCTTTGCACAGTTAAGGTCAGCACACAGGAGTTAAGCCCAAAACAAACAGGCGACAGAGGGGGCAACGAGGCAGTCCAAGAAACAAGAATTTGGTCTACGAGGAAACGGCGAACTCTAGGAAAATGGGCGTCACAGTTACAACAGAGCACACAGACATGCGGCCCTGAGGGAAGTGGAGGCCAAATAAATTTATCAGGGATAAAAGGATAACAAGATGCAATTGACACACATCAGGGCGGGGAAGGCTGTCGCAGCACTGGAGGGCAGGAAGGCAGGAAGGCAGAGGTCTGAAAGGACAACAGAGGTGAGTGTGTCAAAAGAAAGAACAAAGAACAAGGTGACCCAGAGAGCAGGATGACGCCTGAGCGACACATAACAGCTGTCAGGTCAAAAGGCTGCAGATTTGTCTGGAATTGTTACCTAAAACTACCTTTGGCATGCTTTACATT